ACGTTTTTAAAAATGTTGGACAGTCATAGCATTAAATCTTAATTGTCATTGGATGGTGCCGACATTAGTTTCTTGATCATAACATAATTAGTCTTTTTTCAAAAGTCTCATATAATAAAGTCGGGCATTATTTGGTCTTTGCTATCTTAAATTTCTATTATTAGATTTTTGGTTTTTTTTTTAAAAAAAAAATTCTTATTGGAAAAGTCACACATTATAAAGTTCGCTTTCTTTAAAATTCTTATTAAAAAGACTTACACATTTTTAGATTTTACTTTAATATTCTTATAGGACAGAGTTGCATGTCATTAAGATTTCGTTACTTTAAATTCTTATTAGACTGAGTCATACGATATTTTGTTTTCATTTTCATAAAACATTACGTGCGTTTGACTTCACATATGTGTAATGTTATTATTCTGGTCTAACGATGATATACATTTTAAATTTTCTGTTATCCATAAAATGCTGTCAATGTTACTGACGGTCACTGCAAATTATTAAATTGTACGTTTGTACATATATGTAATGATAAATTTAAAATAAATTATCTGAATTGTGCAGAAATTTAAAATGGGTTGCGCTAATGGAAAAAATGTGTTAGACGTATTGGAAAATGGGTTAGACGCATTGGAAAATGGGTTAGACGCATTGTTATTATAGATCGGAGTGCCAATAATTAATTTTTTTTTAGGGTGTTCAATCTTAAAAAATAAATAATAAATTTTGTGACTAAATGACAAATGCGCCGTAATGATTTTCATTAAACGGGTTTATTTAGTTTATGATTTGAATGAGATTTTGATGTTATTAGGTCTTTGCTTGAGCTTTTTTTTGAATTTTCAAGAATGAAAGAATTAATAATTTAAATCATAGATTCTTTTTACATATTAAAATTGACTTTTTATTGAGGTGAAAGGTGTTGCACGGGTTGTGTTATGTCAGACCCGTACAATAATATAGTGATTGTATAGAATAACTAAAGTTGCAAGGGTCGGCCCGTTTCACGTGGCCGAAGGCTATGTGATAACGGTTAACCTGTGCAAATCTAATTATTTTCTACAAATCATAAATTTTTGCGACTTGTTTACGACCACGATTTAAATTATTCATGTGATTACAGGGGTGGTGGCTGCACCGTCATCATGACACAGATTCAAGGGTACGTATAAGTCAAGGACAGAATAGTTTATTAATGTCTTGATAATATTGTAATAAAATCTTTATTCATATATAAGACTACAAATCAGCAATGATGAAATAACAAATTTTAATTTTTTTTTCTAAATTTATAGATCATTATCTTCTGAATATCTATTTTAAACCAATATTAGTAAAAATAAAATGGAACGAAATGTAAACAATTTATAAATAAATCATTTAATATAACATATAAAACAATAACAAATTTAAAAAAAAATATACATTCGAGAAAGAATTTAATAATGAATAGTGCCAATCAAAAGATGGAATTAAATATCAAATTATGGTATCTAATTTAACCTTTTAGACAATGATATCAGACGCATTTACAGGTTGTGAAAGATTTGCGAAACTTAAAGCGCAACTTGTATAGGAGGCCTGATGGTGTGTAATATAAGCTCTTGTAGCTCTATCATTATTTGATGTGTTAATTGAGAAACCTTCAGAAGCTTGTAACTTTTCAGCTGCTTCAATTTGACTCCACAGCTCAGGAAATTCTTTCTTATCATCATAGTCACGATACCAACTTCCAAAAACATCGTGCAATTCGTTTGCTGTCGGTCGAAGCTCAGGTCTTGCATCCCAGCATCTTTTAATTAGATCACTAATTAATTGAGGGGTATAATTCTCTTTTATTTCGGGACGGTAACCTTGGCTAATTTGTAAAGCAAGATTATTGTTATGTGGAATATTATAGTAAGGAGGAAATTCAGATGCTACTTCATTCATAAGAATTCCGAATGAATATATATCAGCTGCTTGTGTATATTCTTCACCATAAAGAACCTCAGGAGCAACGTATGGCAACACGCCAAATATTTGATTTTGTGGTTTTTCCTGTGATTCACAATTGGATGGTTTATATATACCAAAATCCGTGATATATGAACTAATACCATTATCAATTACTACATTCCCACTATGAAGGTTTTTATGAATTAAATTTGCTTTATGAATATTATAAAGACCTTCGGCTGCTGTCCGTATGATATTTAATTTTGGTCCCCATTTTAAGTTTTTAAAATTTTTATTCAAATACTGACGAAGACTACCGTCTGATGCATATTTCATAATTATCATAAAATCGTCAGTTTTGGGATCTTTGGTTATTCCATAACAAGGAATAATATATGTGTTTAAATTTAATTTCATCTGAAGATTAATCTAATAAAATAAAATTAAAATGAAATAAATAAATTTTATAACAATTTCATGGTAAATTTCATGGTAAATTTCATGGTAAATGGTAAATATTATACAATTACCTCTTCCAAAAATGTTTCAATTAGATTTTTTGAGTTTCGTAAACTTTTAAGAACAACATCTTGATAACTAAATCGACTCCATTGTTGAGTTTCGTTATCCCATCTTTTGATACATCCATCATCCCAATTTGCTTCAAATACAGTCCCATAACCACCTTTACCAAGATATTTAGCGTTGAAGAATCTTTCATATGGAACCCATTCCAATACTTCCCAACAATTAGTCGCATTAAGTTGTGTGTTTTGAATAAACTTATCAACCGTACTATTACCACTTGTCCATTTGTCAAATTGTTGCTTAAAATGTTCTGCATTGCAGGACATGCACCAGCCGTATCCAGTATTCTGTTGCATGCATTCGTTACATTCTCCATATTTTCCGTGTTGATGTTCCAATTTTTCAATTGATACTTCATCAACTAGTTCTGACTTTGCTACGGCTCCTTTACTATGTCTTGAACCCATATTTATTTCTAAGTTTATTGATCAAAAAAAACAAAATAAATAAAGGTAAATGTATTAGAATATAAAATTTCTTAAAATTCTATTTCACCAACAATCTTTAACGCTTACCGGAATTTAAAAATCGTTACTTATTGTCGTTATAATTTTCGTTAAAAAAAAAAAAAAATAGTTAATAAAAAAAAAAGAACCAATCACGTAAAACAAATACACAGTATCGATAGGCTAGAATTGGTCAAAATGGGCTAGCATTAAATGAATCATAAAAAAAAATTTTTTAACAATGCAATCTTCTCTCTCTAAGAGAATTAACCTTCGAAGACATCAATCGGATTATGAACACAACTTTTTTTGAAAAAAAAAAATCAATGATGCTAAAATATTAAAGCAAAATATAGAAAGTCACAAATGTTTCACAAATGTTTCACGTAGTAAAAGAATTGCCGAAAAAGCCGTTTTTACCAAATACTCGCCAATCATTTTTCGGTTTCGGCAACTTTATTACTAACTGAAACGTCGTGTAATTCATATGTCCAAATGGTTGTTCATTTGTGTTCCTATAACAGCAAATGAATTTCTAAATTGAATTTGACAAATGTTTCACTCAAATAATTAAAGCATACTGATTTTTTCTATGAGAAACGTTTCAGTAAATAAAGTGAATAGGATAGTATTGCATATTAAGGAATTATAAGATCATATGACTACTGCAAAAAAATGTCATATGCACAATACGTTTCCATAAATTTACTTTGAAAAAAATATGGATTCATTCTAGATATGAGTGATGGGTGATGCCAAGGGAAAACCTTTTTATTGTACCGGACTTCTGGAATATTACGTAATTTAATAAGTATTTACGTCCAAAATGATTTGATTATCATAATTTTCTAAATTTAAGGTCCGTCTACGTAGTGAATATTTAAATTCGTACTTCTGTACTTGCATGTTTGCTCTTCTCTTGGCAGCACTGCGCATATCAGAGGCAGAAGTTTGTCTGATTGGCAGATGCTCTTTACGGTACAAAACCTTAAACAAAAAAATCTTATACGAATCGATAAACTCGGATAAGCGCATATAGAGTGGTGCTAAAATGGTATTCACACTAAAAAAACAAACCCCAACTCATTAAACTTACTATCTATAATAAATCCAAAACGCTTAAAAGCAAAATCAACTTAAGAATATCTTAAATATAGTCTAAGTCTTTCACTGTCAGCAAGCTTATCTCGTCTCAAATATCCAAAATCTTTCTAAAATAAAAAAAATTTTTAGTCTTGGTACATATTAAGATTTAATAAAACCTTTTCTTTTCCTATTTTGGAAAGTCGTCATTATACAAGCCCTCTTTAAATTAAGGATTATTTTTTAAGTTTAAC